AAGCTTAATAAAAAGGTATGTCTTTTATTTTTATTTTATATTATGCTTAGCATTTTTTATTATACTAGTTTATATTTTTTACTTATCTTGCCTAACATATTACTATTCTTTATAAATTTACTAATTAATATATTATGTTTTATAAAGGTAATTTTATTAATTGCCATGGTACTAAAGAGTATTTATATATATTAAGGATTTTTTAATATTAGGTAGTAAATAGTAAATTAAGGCTATTTTTTTTATGCAATATATTTACCCTAGTATTATAAAAAATAATATTTTTTTAGGCCTACTTATAATAATATTAAAAAAAAAAATATAAAGATTATTAGCCTCCCGGGAGTTAGCATAAAAAGGTATTATATAATCTTACTTAAGAAGACCCTGCTAGCTTAATAAAAGCTGCTTAGTATTAGGGGTGTTATAAAGCTAGTTTTTTTTTATAATTAAAATATATACTTTTTTTAATATTTTTATATATTTATAAACACATAAATAATATTTAATAATTTAAATTATTTTTTTTAAATAGCTACAAGCCTAGTAATAACGCCTTTATAACTAGTAATAAGGTAAGAATATATAATAATAGGACTAGCTAGTTTATAAAAATATAAAATTTAAATAAAAAACCCTTTTTATCTCCCCCTAATTATATTTTAAATAAAAATCTAATTTAATTTTCCTAAACCCTTACTAATGTTATTAAACTTAGTTATTTTTATAAATATAAAAAAAGTAGCAAAAACGCTGTTTTTTACCTTTTTAAAGGGGGTATTCTTACTTTTTTTTTTTAAATTTATATTAAGCCTAAATTTATATAATAAACTTATATAAATCTGGGCGCGGGAAAAAGTTAAGATTTAAGTAATTTTAATTATAGGTTATTTTGCTTTTTTTAATACTTATTTTAATTATTTACCTTTTTATTATTCTTAAATACTACTAGCTATCCCTAACTTTAGATTAATAAAAATTACTACTAAAAAGATAAATAAAAACACTATGTATTTTTTAAATTATTATTATTAAATATTTTTTTTGCCTTGCTTATTACTATAATAACTTATTAGGTAATTATATAGTATTAGGTGGGTGGTTATATAAGGTAAATAAATAACCTAAAAAATACCTTAGGTATTAGGGAAAGGAGCCCTAGCTAAATACTTTATATACTAAGTTTATTTATTATTATAACTATATAAGTTTTAAATTTGCTTGGCTAATAGCTACTTGTTTAAGTTAAAAATTATTATTTTTTTATAAATAATATTAGCATCACGCCTAATTAAGTTTAGGGATTAGTAGTTAAATAAAAACTTTTATAAATAGCTAAAATAATTTTAATCCATGCCTAACTTATTTGCTATTCTTAATTAAGTAATATTATTAAATAATAAATCTAGTTAAAATACTTGCAACTAGTATTTTATAATAGCTTTTAAGCTATAGTAGTGGTTTATAATAATACTAGCACCTTATCAATAACCTTATAGTTAATAAAGCTAATTAAAAATAAGGCTAATATTACAAGTGCAGGTTAAATATATAAGCTTTTTTTAATATAAAAATACCGCCCCAATATAAAAAAAATACTAAATTTAGGGATATAATAAGGGTGCAGGTAAGATAGGATGCTAACTATAATAAAAAAAAATACTAATATTAAAAAGGTAAGCTAGGAATAAACTATAATTTTATACTTGGACTTTTACTAATAGTTATAGTATATATTTATATACTTAAAATAAGTCTTTAGCTAGTCTTATTAATTAATATTTTATTTACTATTATATAAATACTTTTTTTATTTAATTTACTTTTATTATTTCCGCTTTACAAAACTACATTAATATATTTTTACTTATTTTTAATACTTTAGCTAATGCCTATTTTGCTAGAAACGCCTTCTGCCATATGTTTATATTTTTTTACTAATTATATTAGGTATGCTGCTTATTTAATAATATTATTTACTTTATATTTTAACTTTTAATACAGGCTATAAATTAAATAATATACTATAAAAAAAATCTTAACATATTATAAAATAAGTCTTAAATATTAAACCTAATTATAATTAGTACTTAACTTTACTATAGTTATATTTACTTAATAGTTACTAACTTATATTATCTTGCTTTTAATATAAAATTAGGCTACTTAATAAATTATTTAATATACTTTTTTTTAAAATTATATTTTTATAAAGTACTAATATAAAATAAATACTTAAAAGCCTTTTTTCTTAGCATAATAATATTTTTTAATTAATAAAACTTAATACCTGCCCTTTATTTTAGTTTCCTAAATTAATAATAAATATAGTTAATTAAAATTTTGTTATTAACTTTATAATTATACATGTAAATTATTTTATAAACTTTATGGTATTTTTTTAATAAATTTTTTTTTATTTTTATGGCATAGATTCTTTTAACATGTTATTAAGTATATAATTAATAATACCTTAACTTTGCAAGATAATAACGCCAAAGCCATAAATCTAGTTTTTAATAATTAAATAACATGTCCTATAGTTAGGATAATAATAATTAGTGGCACCTAGAGTAACTAGGTTATAAAATTTTAATAACAGGCGCCTATAAGCGTAGTATTCTTTACGCAAGCATATTTTATTTTATAAGCATGTTTCCTGCCCGGACTATAACTATTAATTATTTACTAACCATTAACTCTAGTTTCTTCTCTGCCTTTTATCTAGTTAAAATAAGATTCGCATTATTTATTTATTAGTTCCCTAATCTTGCCCTGCTTTTATTATAACTTATAGTTAGTACCTATATTAACAGGCCTTAATATAACACTTTTAATAAAATATAAATAAGAATTGTCAGGGCCAACGTTTTTCCGTTCGACGTCACCGGAGCCGATCCACCGTTGGTCCGGAGTTGGCGCCTGAGCTTTGGCCTCAGGCCGCCAAGGCTTGGCATACCTCACCACTACATCGGGCTATATAACTCGACTAGGTTGTCGGCGTTTAGGGTCTTGGGCCACCAGTCAGGCAAGGCTAGGGTAGGCCCCAAGTATAGGCCAGAGTAGGGACCCGTGCGCAGAGTATTTAAACCTATATCTACTTCCTAGTTAGGAATAGCTTGAGCGTAGCTTGGAGGTCTATAAAAATAGCCTTAAGGCCAGCCTTTTTCCTAGATCTCCAAGTAACTCTTTTAGTGTCATCCAGCGGGGTTCAGAATACTCCATTCTCATTGGTCAGATTCCTTTATCAATATCTTTATTGTCAGTAGAGATCTTCGAGACTTGTCGGTCTTACAAGAATACTAAAAATAATTAGTGGGATTAATATAAAGCAAGTAAAACTAGTAAAAGTAACCCTATAAAATAGGAAGTAATAAATAGGTTTATTTAAAAAATAGTAGTAGTTAAAAATACCGTGATAAATATAATAATATATTACTAGTAAATAAACTTATATTTAATTAATAAATAGTAGTAATTTAACGCGCAGTTATTATAGGCGCTATTTAATATTAAATTACTAATAATATTATTAGGTATTTTATACTATTTATATAATATTAACTTGCGCTAATTAGCTTTTTTTAATATTAAGTATATTATAAGAATGCTAATTATAATTAATATTAAGCTATTAATTATTACGCATAATATTACCGGGCATACTTTAATAATAAGCTAATATTAATAAAATCTTGTTAACCTAATAACTATATTAAGATAATTTTATGTTAATTACTTATTTTATAAGTTAGTTAGTGTTGCCCTGGAAATCGCGATACTAAAAGGTTAATAATATTTTAATATAATTTTACATCTTTAGTACGGTTAATATTTTTAAAATTTAATTATTAAAAATGTATATTTTTTATCTAACACTAATAAAACAATTTTTTATTAAACTACCATTAGATCAACGTTCTAAAAACCCCCCCCGGTCCGATGGGCGACCCCGACCGATTGCCCCTAGCGACAAGCCCAGGGTGCCTGGGGAGTTGGGCTGTTCATCTCTCAGATATCTTGTTCAGAACACACTCCTGGCCTTCACAATTCTCATAGAGGGAGTGTATCCCAGTCAGTGTGTCGCTTTGCTACAGTATCTCCTGGCTCAAGATAGAGTTCCCACGTTAGGAGATCCAGGGCAAAAGTCAGCCGTTGTCAGGGCCACTCTGATCTTCGGCGACTGCGGAGGTAAATAAGCAAATGTAGTCATTCGGAGTTCAAAACAATGAGTAAACAAGCAAACCAAGTAAATAGAAGCAGTCGCAGTTAGAACAGTTATCCCTCTATAAACAACAGGCTTTCAGGCTTCAGGCTGGCAGTGTCGGGCTACTCCAGCGTAACAGTAAGCGACAGACTAAGAGTTGCCGCTTTCTTTGACCATCTGGGCCTCAGGGACTGGCTGCTGGCGTGACCTCCGCATCCTGTCCCGCTGATTCTCCCTTTACCTTCGATCTTCCTCTCCATCCATCCAATACTGAGGTCCTCTCGTTTCGCCTCCTCATCTGTTTCAGGTTCGCTTACTGTTACGGTTACCTCGACGAGCGCAGTTTCTTCCAATCTTTTCCTACTAATCAATCTGGTCGCTCGCTTTTGTTTATCGCACGCAGCCTTGCCGCAGTCCTGCTTGTGTTTTTCTCGCCGACCGTCACTTTTCAGCGCCTCAGCATTTCATCTTCAGCATATTCGTACGAAAGCGATATATCGATATAATAATTTATTACGACACGCTCTCAAATTCTGACGATCGTCGAAACCCCGCGCAAACGTTGGGTGCCCACATTCCTCGGGAGGGGTTCATCAGCATTCATTCTTGACCGTCGCTCACGTACTGCTATCGCCTATGCTAGTCTAAGGTCAGTCGCATAACATTCCATGGCCTGCGAAATGGCAGCTTCCAAATTCTGAGATCCAGCTGGCCGGACCACGATAGTTTCACGGAAGAGAGATTCCAATCACCTTGACATTAGTTGCTGATTATGGTCCACTGAATAGGCATCATGTCTTTGCCTCAACGGCCGGGGAAGGCTTCCCCGCGAAGGGAAGAAACGTCAGCGTTCCGAGAACCCTCGCGCAGACGGCGGCGCGAATCTGATAGTCTCAGCAACAACGACCCGACTAGTCCGCGGCATCACAGACACCACCGTTCGCATAGCTCTCGGCATCATAACGATATCGACGAGGAGCGGGCTGAGGATGGTGGAGTCAGGCGCAAGAGAAGTTTAATCAAGCCGGAAAGAGGACGAATTGACCCGAGTCACCCAAATTACCTATACCATCAAAAAGCTCAGAATATGCCCACGTACAACTCGATGGCGGGGACCGAGCAGTTAATTCACGAAGACGAACCGGGCGAGACGACTAGCACACCGAGTATGGATTCGAAGCGGAAGGACGCCCTGTATGGTGCGCATGGCAATGTCAACCAGCCTATGGAGCGAGTTCCGACGAGACACCGATCGAAGAAGAGGAAGGGCTCCAGGAAGCTCTCGAAACGAGAGGCGGCAGCGGAGAAGAGGAAGCAGAAGGCCATGGAACAGGTGCGGCCTCCCAGTTTATGGACGACGTACTGCTCGGTGATCACGTTCTGGGCGCCCGACTTCATCATAAAGTGTTTTGGAATGCCGCAAAAAGCCCAGCGGAGCGCATGGCGGGAAAAGATGGGTCTTATTAGCATCATCCTCATGATCGCGGCGTTTGTCGGTTTCCTCACATTCGGTTTCACGGCTACTGTATGCGGATCCCCGCCTACACGGTTGAAGATCAACGAAATTGGCACGGGTTACATGATATTCCACGGGCAAGCATACGACTTGACCAAGTCGACGCATCCCGCGGCTGCGGGTATACCGGACATGACCAATGTCCTCTATGACCTACCACACAAGTATGGAGGTCAAGATGGAAGCTTTTTCTTCCAGGAGGTAAACGGAGCTTGCAAGGGCTTGATTACCGTGGCCGACAATTCCGACATCCCAACCAACTCTAATGGTGACCTCGCGTGGTATTTCCCATGCCACGCTTTCAATCAGGACGGCTCGTCTGAGCCTAACTCGACCGTGTCTTATTACGACGGCTGGGCTTGCCACACGTCTGGCGATGCCCGTCGGGCGTTCTACAACTTGGATAGCTCGGGCGACGTCTATTTTACCTGGGAAGATACGAAAAACACGACCAGAAGACTTGCTGTTTACTCCGGAAACGTTCTCGACCTCAACCTTTTGAATTGGTTCGATGATTCCCAAGTGAATTACCCGGCAAAGTTCAACGAGCTTCGGGAAAATGACGACATCCGCGGGGTTGATCTCACATACTACTTCCAAACCGGCGAAGACAAGCAAATCGGCAAGTGCCTGTCCCAGATAATCAAGGTCGGAAGCATCGACACCGACACGGTGGGCTGTATTGCCTCCCAGGTCGTTCTGTACGTGTCTCTGATCTTCATCCTCTCTGTCGTCATCATCAAGTTCGCATTTGCTCTCCTCTTTCAATGGTTTCTTGCACCGAGGTTTGCAGCCCAAAAGACAAGCATGGGCGCGGTCGATTCCAAGGCTCGGAACCAACAGATTGAGGACTGGTCGAATGACATCTACCGGCCTGGCCCTCGTCTTACGGAGCACACCCCGGGTGATCGAATGAGCAAGAGAGCTAGTTTCCTGCCCACCACCTCGCGTTTCTCCAGTCCGTACACCGTGAGCAATGGAGGCAAACAGAGACCCCAGTGGGTAACTATGGCTAGCCAGAATTCTACCACTCGATTAGTCCCTACCACCAGTGGTACCACTCCGTCTATATACAGGCAAAGCCACAACGGCAGCGGGAATGTCAGCGTCGATAACACGCGACTGAACCCGGCTGCTAGCCGAACAAGCTTGGTACCGGATTCTCGTTATTCGACTGCTATACCGGACTCAGAGGGTCTTAGTTCCGCCGGTTACGTACATGAACTTGTCGTTCCTCAGCCACCCCCTGACTGGCAGCCCTATGGCTTCCCTCTGGCCCATGCCATGTGCTTGGTTACCTGTTACTCTGAGGGTGAGGATGGAATTCGCACGACCTTGGACTCAATTGCGTTGACGGACTACCCGAATAGCCATAAATCCATCGTTGTCATCTGTGATGGTATTATCAAGGGTAAAGGAGAAGAGTTCTCTACTCCCGAGATCGTCCTTCGAATGATGCGAGACCCTATAATTCCGCTGGAAGAAGTCGAAGCATTTTCGTATGTGGCCGTCGCTACCGGTTCAAAGCGCCATAATATGGCCAAGATCTATGCCGGGTTTTACGACTACGGAGAGAACTCTATCATCCCTGTCGAGAAGCAGCAGCGTGTTCCGATGATGATCATTGTGAAATGTGGCACGCCGGCGGAAGCAACCACGGCAAAGCCTGGAAACCGAGGAAAGAGAGACAGTCAGATTATTCTCATGTCGTTCTTGCAAAAGGTTATGTTCGATGAGAGAATGACTGAGCTTGAGTACGAGATGTTCAACGGGCTCTTGCACGTAACTGGCATACCGCCTGATTTCTATGAGGTTGTTCTCATGGTAGATGCGGATACCAAGGTTTTCCCTGACAGTTTGACACACATGATCTCTGCAATGGTCAAGGACCCCGAGGTGATGGGTCTGTGCGGTGAGACAAAGATTGCGAACAAGACCGATAGTTGGGTGACTATGATCCAGGTTTTCGAGTGCGTACTCACCTTCCCAATATGTATAGTTCAATGCTAATCCTGTCGCAGGTACTTTGTTTCCCACCATCAGTCAAAAGCATTCGAGTCTGTTTTCGGTGGTGTTACCTGTCTTCCAGGCTGTTTCTCCATGTATCGGATCAAAGCTCCCAAGGGCGGCCAGAACTACTGGGTGCCGGTTCTTGCAAACCCGGATATCGTCGAGCATTACTCGGAGAATGTGGTGGACACTTTGCATAAGAAGAACTTGCTGCTTCTGGGTGAGGATCGATATCTGTCGACTCTGATGCTTCGGACGTTCCCTAAGCGCAAGCAAATCTTCGTGCCCCAGGCGGTTTGTAAGACGGTCGTGCCCGACAAGTTCATGGTGCTACTATCTCAGCGACGTCGCTGGATCAACAGTACTGTCCACAACCTCATGGAGCTGGTCTTGGTTCGAGACCTGTGCGGTACCTTCTGCTTCAGTATGCAGTTCGTCATCTTCGTGGAACTGGTCGGAACTGTCGTTCTTCCTGCCGCCATCTCCTTTACCATCTACGTCGTTGTTACTTCAATTGTCAACAGGCCGGTCCAGATCATTCCGCTCGTTTTGCTCGCCCTTATTCTCGGTCTTCCTGGAGTGCTCGTCGTGGTAACGGCACATCGACTTGTCTACGTCCTGTGGATGCTTGTCTACCTCTGCTCACTGCCCATCTGGAACTTTGTACTGCCAACCTATGCATACTGGAAATTTGACGACTTCAGCTGGGGCGATACACGAAAGACAGCAGGTGAAAAGGACAAGGGCCACGAGGACGGAGAGGGAGAATTCGACAGCAGCAAAATTACGATGAAGAGGTGGCGTGATTTCGAAAAAGGTATGTCTATCTTGCGCTTATCAAGGTGATGTCAGCACTAATAATGCTTCCTACCTAGATCGTCGAATGAAGATGCAGGCTGGATGGCAGGCCCCGGTCGGGGGTCACCCGATGCCGTACGAGCCATATCCGGAATATTAGCTCCGTCCAGTTTATGACATACTGTATATTGTGATTTGACTTCCTTTTGGATATAGCTAGGTAGTGTTCTTGTGTCTATAGTATAGTAGGTAGCCCCTGACGAGCGGGATCCCTTGTTGGTTGAGTCGGGATTCTGTGAAACCTAATATCAAAGCCTCATGCTGGACTGCCGTGGATCGCGGGTACCTACTGTGGCCGTGAAGTATCGAGTACCTGAAAGTTGCACATAGTCTCACTGCATGTACGGAGTATATGTACCAACCCCAAAAGACCCTTGCCACAGCCTGTCAGCGACGATCGCTAGCGGCGTAGCGCCGGGGTTGGGTTGGGATTGAAATATGCAACTGACAAGCCAGGAGGCTTGAGCGTGGAATTATCGAGTTCTTGCAGAGGAGTGCCCAGAGTACAGAGTACCTGTTCCAAAGAGGTGAAGGAGATTGTGGTTGTGGTGTGGTGTGATCTGACTAAGGATCCTGTCAATCCAATTGTTGGTTCATCGAGCTCGCCTTCTCAAACATCTCCGATTCTCCCTTCATCTTCATTCCTCATCGATCTATCCGAGTCTTTTCCTTTCTCAGAGCCCGGCAGATCGGCGACTGCTGCGTGTGACTACTTCGAGACGCACGTTGTCCTCGCCATGCATATTTGACCCCGATCGGCCGCTCATTGTCCTTTTTCTTGCTTGTCACTCCCCTCCTTTTTTATGCACCTCGAGCACCGCTAGGCGCCGGGGGCGCTGTCAGACTCTGTTTTTTTAATTTTGACAGAGTGACTGTCTCTTGCTTTTTCGGGACCGGTTTCATTTACTCCGCTTTTCCGTACCCCTCTGACGCCCCGGCTGCTCGCAGCAGTGATCAGTCTCACATACTCCATACTCTGTACATCCCAACCCCTCGCCCAGTCATCCCACGATTCGTTGGACTCGACCAGGCGGCGTCCGACTTCTGCGATAAGTAAGCCACGGAGTCCTCGGCCGAACAGTCCTCGGCCGAAGTCGAACTCTTTTTCGCGCGTCCAACCCGGCATTGTTGCTCGACCCTAGTGTGGGGGGGTGATGGAAGACAGGCTGCGGGGTGGACAACGGTTGCTGCATAACCACGATCCCTGATCCTAAACGAGGCAACGTGGACGGCCCTCGCTACCAATCACGCCTTTTCCCGTCCAGCTTGTGTACCCTTTCCCTACCTTATCATTCGGACGCCAGCTCGCTTCTCGCTTTCCCCGCGGATTGTGCAAGGCTTCCAGGGAGTTTGTTCCCTCCCCTCGGCAGCAGCCAAGCGCTGCGCTCGGCGGCCGGAATGCCTGGTCAGCATGAGCGTGATCCTTATTTTCAGCCCTCTTCAACATCCGCATCCCACCTCTTGTCGCCGTCTTTATCGAGTACCTCGGGCCAACCTTCGCATGATCCCGCGACGCCCCTAGCAGATGCGTCATCATGCGACGCGCTCGGATTCCCGCGCCAACCCGAACCCTTGTCTTTTGACGGTCCTTCTCGGTTTCATCCCCAAGGCATGGCGCCCGAAGATGAAGCGTACCCTGCGGGCTCTCATGCGGCCAACCGGCTTGAGCAGCGGCTGCCGCAGCCTGGGGACGGGTTTGACCCCATCACGACGACTTTCCAGAACAACTACTCTGACGAGGCGCTCTCCGCTTTCATGACCGTACCTCACTACCCCGAGACCACCAGCACCAGGACCAGGATCTCCGTGTCTGAAATCGTGAACGCGGTTATCGAGCCGGGTGATCACCGCCGCCCGGGTACCTCTACTCAGGAGATTTCAGGACTTCAGCCGCCGATGGAATTATACATGTCCGATTCGGAGATGACCGACGCGCTATCCGAAGTGGGCGGGGTACCACTGAACGAATATCATATGGAGCAGATGAGGATGGCTGAGTTCGCCAACCGGTTCGTCAATACCCGTACTCAGAACAACTATATCGCGGTATCGGAAACGACCGAGGAAGATCGCGCAACGGATCAGGCAATGGATCATGAGCCTCATACGTCTCGACAAGGGCCAATCTCGTTCTCGACAACGGAGGATGAGGATGATACGCGCAAGTTCTATTTAGATGGCGGCGAAGATGATTACGCGACCGACTCTCATTCTGCTTTCACCGACGACGGCCGCTCGCATGTATCGAACGTCGACTTGGACGATTTCTACCGGGCCCCGGGTTACACGTACGGCTCCCAGGTCTCTGGGTTTGACCCTACTTCCAGCCATGAGGATCATACCAACTCTTCCGACGCTGAGGATGTCAACGCTGATCCAGCCGTGGACCCCCACTTCGCAGAGTCTGTCCTACATGGAACTAGTACGTATCCAACCAGTTCGTGTCTCAGTTTGTTTGCTAATCGGGCGGCAGCGCAAGAGAGAAACTATGACATCGACCAGTTCATTTCACAATGGCTCTTCCAATCGTCTACTGCAGCGATCCCAATGCTGTCGCTCTCGCCGCCGGCATTGCCTCAGCATGCCTTATCCAATATCATGCGATGGACGCCGCCGGCGAAAATTATTCGCCCAAGCGGTTATCTTGGAGACTTCTACGACATCCAGCAGATTCCCTGGTGGGAGAAACTGCGTGTGAGGCGCGCTGATGCGCGTCAGCTTCGTGACCAGTCCTACGAAGCGTACCAGAATCTACAACAATATCCCCGACAGCGGGCAGGGACCAGGTTGCCGGAGGAGGAGTTTTATTTTCAGGGAAAATCGATGTACACGAGCCACAAAGCGACGATCGAGCACTTTCAGCTCCGCAACCTGATGTCCGTCCCCGCGTACAACACTGTACATTTTGCGCACGAATCCAAGTTGTATTCGTGGGTTCCGGCGTACGACGACCTACAATGTCTGATCGATCTATCTGTACCAACCGTTGAGTCTGGATTTCAAGGTCCGGTCAAAATCTCGACCATGAAGACGGCTGTAGGGGTATCCATCGCTGGCGGCTTTTTCGGAGAATATGCCGTGCGGGCCTTGGGAGTTGAAGACAAGGGAGCGCAAGGCTACGTTACAAAGGACCCCAATGGAATTACCACCCACATTGACATCATACCAAGTCGCACGAATCGGTCGCCAATCGGGGTTTTTGCTTCGAATGATCGACACGTACGGACCTTGGATTGCGAGACCAACACCTTCCTCACAGACCACGAACTCACCCACGCGGTCAACTGTACATCGACTTCACCGGATGGTCGGCTCCGTGTCATTGTTGGCGACTCTCCAGATGCTTGGGTCGTTGAAGCGGACACGGGCCGACCGATTCATCCTCTGCGTGGTCACCATGATTTTGGGTTCGCCTGCGCCTGGTCTCCAGACATGATGCAGATCGCCACCAGCAATCAAGACAAGTCAGCGATTATTTGGGATGTTCGGACGTGGCGCCCGCTGGTGAGGATAGAGTCCGACGTAGCAGGCTACCGGTCTCTACGATTTTCCCCGGTCGGCGGTGGCCCGCGGACGTTACTGCTCTGCGAGCCGGCGGACCGGATAGTGATTGTCAATGCGCAGACCTACCGATCGCGACAAGTCCACGACTTCTTTGGTGAAGTCGGAGGAGCAGAATACTCGCCTGATGGAAGCACCATCTGGGCGGCCAACACGGACGAGCTTTTTGGCGGGTTTATGGAATACGATCGGCGGCAGTGGGGTCAGCAGTTTGGGCTGCAGCAGTCGCCGAACGAATGGGTCAAGGAGGCAGACCTTGATGAGGATGAGCGCTGTATGTTGAGCGAGCGAGAGCGAAAGTTGAGGCACTTGTGGAATTTATCGGACGAGGAGCACGAGAAGTTGCTACTGTGCTAACACCCTTTCTTATGTGGCATGTCACATTGCCTTGGTTTTATCCCGATTCTTGGGAGATTGCATTGTTTGAGCGGAGATACCATACCCTGTCTATCTATGTACACTGAATAGCCATATTAGTATATATTACTCGATTTCCGGTTTTTGACACTGCCTTATGTTTGTCCTGGTGTTTCCATCTAAAAACCTGTGACGTAGCTGTATCAGCCACTGTGGCTTGGCTCTGCAGCTACCGCCCAATCTGTTTTAGCGCATGTATAGCTACCCACAAAAGCCAATAAGCACGCTTAGACTCGTCGATCTGCGGCCTGATCTCAGCTGCTCAGCCACAACCCCTCCCCCTCAATCTCATACAACAATAAATAAGACAGCTCATCCCCTGCCAGACCCAAACACTCCATCTTCTACCATCAGCCAACTTCCGTTATCCATCACCTCACTCATCAACAACTCTCTACAATCCCACAAAACCCTCGAGACTCAACCGCCAACATGTCCTTCCAAAACATCCTCGTCGACGCCGTAAAGTCGCACTTCGACAAGGACGACGACAAAGACGACCTGAACCCGGCCCTCTCGCACGCCTCCGCCCACGCCTCCTCCTCCGAGGACCCCTCCCTCTTCAGCCAGGCCCTTTCCTTCATCAACCAGCGCAAGAGCGAGGGCATTGACAGCGACGACATCGACGAGGAGCACGCTGTCAACGCGCACAGACGCTACGAGGAAGGCGGGAACATGGACTCCAAGGATTTCGGGGCTGGTGCGGCGATGCAGGCGCTTAAGATGTTTACGTCTGGGTCTGGGGAGAGCACGGGGGCCGGGAAGGATAAGAATGCGTTTATTGGGATGGCGATGGCCGAGGCCGGGAAGATGTGGGAGCAGAAGGCGGGACGGGGGGAGGCTGTGAGTTTATACCTATTGGATTTGGAATATATGGGGTGGTAATGAGTAACTGTGGTTTGCTAATGTGCGTGCAGAGCGGAGACAAGCAGTCTGCTATCAACCAGGCTGCTGAGATGGCGTTCAAGATGTACTTGAAGAGCCAGATGAGTGGGAGTGAGGGGACTGGTGGGCCTGGTGGGCTGATGAGCCTGGCTAGCAAGTTCTTGAAGTAAACTGGCTAGACTCATAGTCTTCATTGTGGATGCCGGGAGGCTGGGAGGACAGTATCATGGGCGGGAACTGGGAAGTTGCTGCTATGCATAGCCCGTTGCTTTAACATTTCGATTTGTGATATGAAGCTATTTCGTTGATAGCAGCGAGAAATGAACGCTAAGTCATTGCAATTCACATTAGTATAGTCATAGACTCCGTCCGTAGCGATGCCTCGTGGAGGGTCTGCTTCCCGCTGATGACGTTGCAAGGGTCGGCCTCTTCTTCAACCACAAACAATCTCCTTCATCTAGAAAGCTTCATTAGCCACCTCTATCTCTCCGATTTTCTCTTTCCGTACTAGCAGATTTCATTTGAGGACACTGACGCTCCGAGCTCGAGCTGAAACCCAACAGTCCCACGGTTCGGCAGACCCTCATTCCCAAAAACTCCTCGACTGACCGAATCACAGAAACTGACGTGGATCGTCCGGATCTCACTTTTGTCAGACTGGGCCTCAACCCTGCAATGGCTGATTAGATCTCGCCCCACAATGACTGATGCAACATGCGAGCAAGAACCGCACAAGGGAAGACTGCCGAAACTTGGGTGGGCTTCTGTGGCAAACGACTGTGGCAGCTTGAATCCTGACACACAGCTGTCGCAAATGTTCGACAGCTCTGCGACAGCTCGAAACTTGAAGCTGAAGGTTGGCTGATCAGTTGGCCTTTTAATCATGGCCATGCCCATGTCGTGATGTCTCGGTCTGCTAGTACCTATGTTGTTCTTGTCTACTAGCGATCCCAGATCTGCGTCTGCATCTATCTGCCGTCATGGTAGATCGGCCTGCAGCTGTTCGCGGCATAGCAGCGGCGTTCCTCGCGCTGTCCAGCGTGGCCGTGATTCTGCGCTGCTATGTGCGCCTGCGCATCATCAAGGCTTTTGGCTGGGATGATTTCGCTATGATACTTTCAATGGTATGTTGCGATCCCTCATATTTGGGGCCGTACTAATCCTGCAGCTATTTTACATCCTGTTCTGCACCTGCATGATCGGCGGGTCTCTCTGGGGTACAGGGAAGCACCTCGCAGAGCTAACAGCTAAACAACGAACTATAGCAATGGAAGTATGCTTTTCCTCTCAATCCAACCAAGACGTTCGTCCCATCTAACCCTTTAGTACTGGTGGTTCTGCAACATCTCCTACGCCGTCTCCTCCGTCCTCGCCAAAATATCCGTCTGTATCTTCCTCCTCCGCGTGATGCTCTTTCCTTGCCACCGAGCAGTGCTCTACACGGTTACGACCCTCGCGATCTGCACGGGTATACCGTTCTTCGTCCTCTTGATCATCCAATGCTCGCCTGTTTCGTTTTGGTGGACGCGGATGCACGGCGATACAGATGGACACTGCGGGTATGTTAACGCTATCGCTATCGTGCTGTATATCTTTAGCGCATCGTCGGCGCTCTTCGACCTTACCGTGGGGACACTGCCTAGCTTGCTGGTGCGCAAGCTGCAGATGAATCGGCGGACGAAAGCTGCTGTTGCTGGTCTTTTGGGAATGGCCTGCATGTGCGTTGTCCCTCGATTATCCCCATGCTTCTTCGGGCTCGTACTAAGAACGTGGAATGCAGTGCGAGTATTGCCATTATCATTCGGCTTGCTTTCGTCCCGACCATACATGATCCTGACTTTCTATGTATGTTATCCATACCCTCTCCTTCGCGTATCTGGCCAAACCATGCTAACCATATAATCCCGATTAGACGGCACCGTCGAAGTAAGCCCGAAACGTCCCCCTGTCAAAGACAACCCTGCTAACCAAGCAGATTGCAATCTGGTCCTGCGTAGAGATTGGCCTCTCCATCACCGCCGGCTCCTTAGCCACAACCCGCCCTCTATTCCGCATTCTATACAATCGGTCCTCGAACGACGAACCGTCCTCGGATCCTTCAACCCCCCGGTACCACAGAACCAAACACAGCCGGTCGACCTCCGGGTCCACTTCGAACCCTAGCCGCAGGTCCCGACGAATGTCGCTGTTCGACAGCGGCCTCGGCATTTTCAGTCGGAACGGCTCGGTCTCCCGCACCCATACTACCTCATCTACATCCCGCCGCAGCAGCAACCTCGATAAAAGTCGCAGCGGAGCCGAGGGACGCCCAAGCAGCGGCTTCTACGAACCCTACATCGGCGTGCAGATGCTGGCAATGCGGCCGACTGCTGATGTGGAGGGCGGACGTGTAGAGTTTGACGGGTCGACGCACCCCGATCCGGGCTCGGAGTTGTTGAATTTGAATTCCAATCAAGAGCTCGATTTGCACGCGGGTGGGGGACGGCCTGAGGGGCTGTCGGTCCCGGGGCCTGCTGCGAGGAAGGGCTCTAGGATTGGCGTGCATAGGACGTTTAGGATGTCGAGTGAGAATGAGCGTGATAAGGATAAGCGAAATGAAGGGGAGGAGGCTGGTAAGGATGATGGTGAGGCAAACGGGCATGGGTAGGGTTACATTTGCCAGGCTGTGGTCTATACCGATATACCATCGTCGCCCTACCACCTTCCAGCATCTTGGTACCCGCAAGACAACTTAACATGTCAGCCCCGTCGACTGGCGTCAACCAATACCGGTATCCCAGTTCCCGCCAGACACATGTCATTTGCACGCCGGCAACGACAGAGCTGCGATACATCTTCGTCCACATTCATGCCCGTCCCAGACAACTACCTACTCAGGAGAAATGGACAGAGAGAAAGAAGCTAGAGGTTCCAACCGCCATTTTGGTCATCCTCTTTCCCCAAGGATAGCGAGCTGGCGCTAGAGTGTGAATAGTGCTGACCCTTCTCGCTGACGGCAGAGCTATATCCATGGAGAAGGAAGATGACCATGACCATGATTGGTTATAGTTCTCTTCTTCGTCCATTGGTCAATGCAGATGTTTGCTACGCGGGCGGGAGCGTTGTAGAGGAAGGAATGTTAAGCCTGGGATATATATAGAGAAAGTTTCGGGAAACGGTTCCGAATGGACTGGAGGAACTGGCCGAACATGAGCTGACATACCGGTGTCTCGGGACCGGTCGAACGTCATGGAACGTGTACATGGCATCCTATTTGTAATGTAATGGGATTGTTATAAATCATGGTATAGCGAATTTTCGCCTCCTCGGCGCATCTACATACAACGAGGACCCGCGGCGGGTCCAGAGCCTATCTAGCTAGGGAATAAACCAGACAATGAACAGGATAAGTATGCAAGTAAACGCAAATCAGGCATGGTATGGCGTGGTCTCAGACACCCACGTCGCTTCGGTGGTATAGAGTTCTAGAATCTTGAAAGAATTTGACGAGACCAGACCAACAAGGAAACGAAAGGAAACTAAACGAAAACATAAAACAAGTAGACCATCTAGTGGGTGAAGTGAAGTTGTGTGGTAGAGGTAAAAGCGAAAAGAAAAAAACGAAAGGTAAGCAAGAAAAAGAAGGATCACCAATCGTCGTCGTCATCCTGCTTCCCTTGCATCGCGCTTTGGCGTGCCCTCAGCGCCTCGGCAAGACCACCGGCGAGACTGGCGTTCGACACGCTGCTGGGCGTACCGCGACCACTTGCTCCAGAGGAGTCTCCTTGCGAGTTCATGCTGACAGCACTGTCACGAGGTGCGGGCGGTGGCGCCGGTGCCGTTTTCCGGCCAGCCATGTTGGGCCGCTTCGCAGGGGGTGGCGGTGCCGCTTTGGCTTTTGCTGCAGCGACGGTGGCTGATCCGTTTGTCGGCGCTGGGCTGGCTCTGGGAGCAACGGGGGGAGGAGGAGGAGGCGCCGGTCGAGGGGTGGGTGCGACTTGCTCCTCAAGATACGCTTCCGGCGTCCAGCCTTGTGCAGAGGTTTCGAGGTTCATGCATAGCCACCAGCCTAGAAAGTGTGAGTTAGGTACATGGCTAAACAAGAGAGGTGAACTAACCATTTCCTTCCTTGGAGACAATTTGGACGATTTGGCCCGCGCTAATCGACAACATGCCACTGTTGTCGCTACTGAAGTCGTACAGGACTTTTGCTTTCTTGGGTCCTGCAGCGGCAGGGGGCGGGGGCGGAGGTGGAGGCGGCGCCCTTGCAGAGGCTGCAGATGAGTTACGGGAATGCGAGGCAGCCACAGCTGCAACTGGTTGAGGTACAGCCCTGGGTGCTGGGGTTGGTTGGGCGGCCGCCTGGGGCGTGGGCTGTGGCTGGGGTATAGGCCGACGCTCTGGTGCAGGCCTCGACGCCAACTTGGACGGGCCACCGCCTGGACCTCCCGGGCGAAGAAGCTTGCCTTTCGTGACGGGCCGAGCAGCGACTTGCTTTCCTCGGGGGGTAGGCTTTGAGACCGAGTTTTCAGGTTCGCCTGAGCCGGTGTGGATCGTTCCACTCTTATAGCTGTCGACCCCTGACGCATCCTTGACTACCTTAACGGTGGCCAATTTGCCTGGTTTCTTGTTGTATTCGATCCTGCTATACTTAGTTTAAAAACCTCGGTTAGGCTGAAGGGAACTTACTCTGGGCCGATCTTTAGATTCAATTGCCCCCGAAGAGCATTGTGTAGATGGGTGAAGAACTCAGTCTTGAAGACGCAGTTGCAGAGCGGATCCGGTTCTTGCCCACCGATGACGAACGAAAACCAATCATCTCGATAGCTAGAAGCACTAACAGCCTTGATGGCACCGATGGGAATGGTTTTCTCCGACGAAATGACGAGTTGGTTGTTGACGAGGTTCTGAGCAACGATATACACATGGCGGTTTGTCTGTACATGTCAGCTGGGGCTCTTGAACAGGAGATTTAACAACATACCAGAACAAAGATCCGACCCGAAGGCTTGCTCGAGCGACCGAACTTGGACACTAGAATTTCGCCACGGCAAGAGAATAAGACATCCTCGGAGGCTAGAATGGTCAGCACCTTGTTCTCACAAAATCAGGAATATGCATACTACTGATAGCGGCGCCGCTGCGAATCATCTCTCCGGGGCCACCTTTGTTGCCGATGCCAACATAGTCACCAAGGAACCGTCGAGAACCGAGGATACTCATCCTCCTACGCTCTTTTCGGTTACCCAGGATCTGATGGCCTTGGTCACGTAGTTTCAGCAACTCAAGCCCACCAGTCATGCGGCGCCAAAAACGCTGGATACGGATGGCACACTCGGTACGGTAGCGGAGGTAGTTTCGCCATGCGCGCTGAATGCGAATAGCCATGTTATGCCAGTAGCGGTCACGCATGGCCTCCAAGGCAAAGAGCGTCTCGGGTGTTTTGATGAACACCTTTGTGATACCCATCTGGTATTCCTCGGCTGGAATTCGGGTGTCCTTCAAGATCTGGCGTGCTCCTGTTTCCACGTCACCGGTCCAAGTGTAGTCACCAGCGTAAGATGTCTTCGGCGATAGGAGGTAGAAACGCTCGACGAACTTGTCGAAAGTTTGACGGTACGCGAAACCAGCGCGACGAATGCGAACGTTCTCCTGGAGACCCAGGTATTTGATCTGGTGGAGGACGTTGCCCTCGTTAAATTCCTTCGGCGCCTTGTTGTCGTTGGGCTTGATGGTTCGAATATACGACGGCTGAGCCTTCATGAGCGTTGCTACGAGGTCATTTGCGGAAGCTTTGATTTTGTCACTGGCTGTAGGTGGTCGTCGCTTATCATCCTGGTTAACCTGCTCAGGGAAGAGGTTGTGAACAAATTGGTTGCCACTAGACTGGACGAGGTTCAACAGATCTTTCAAGAGCTGGTCCTTGTTCTTGTCTGTCATTCCCTGGACAGCGTAGCTGACATCACCGGCGTAGTGCTTAACAATGAATTGACCCTGTCGGTTCTCGAAGTTCGGGTTTTGCCCAAGGAAATTCAGTCGTCCGACAAAGGTGTTATCCGCAGCTCCGGAATCAGCGTGCGCAGTCGCGCAAGCGTCATTGAGGGCGGCGAAAACACCAGGCGGGCGCTTGTCTTCGATCAAGGAACACACAACCTTGTTATCGAAGTACTTAATCGGTGTCCATGTAATCTGCTCACGCTCATACTCGTCTTGCTCGGCCTTGAGTGTCAGTTGAATGAAGATTTGCTGGAGCTTCTCATTAACGTAGTTGATGCACAATTGCTCGAAGGAGTTCTTCTCGAAGATTTCGAAGCCGTAAATATCGAGAATACCGATAGAATTCGTAACCGCGCCCTTGGCAGTCAAGGACTGATTGACGCGCCCCACTATCCAGTCGAAGAGGTTGAAATAGATTGCCTTGGCCAGAGCATCACGAACGGCCAAAGCTTGGGTGGTGTTCAGCGGTACCTCGTAGACAGAGCCGCGGCGACCACCTCGGCTAGTCTCCATCATGCGAATGGTCAGAGCCTGGTTGACTTGACCAGCATCAACTTCTAGCAAGTATGCGACAAAGTCCACCACTGATTGGTCTGTAATTGCAGCATTCCCGGAGTCGTCCTCGCCGAACTGAACATTTCCGATCCACAAAATGGCTGCCAGCATGCGGAAAACGTTATCTTGCTCTGCTTCTGACATTCCGATGACATTCATGGCGTTCAGCGTATCTTGGAACTCGGCAACATCGTCGACACCGGGGACATCAAAACATTTCGATCGGCTTGTGTAAAGGTAGGACTGGGGCTGTTGTATGCCGAATGAGTCTAGGCCGGGTTAGTAGGCACGTCGCGGGTTGAGGTTATGAGACATACCTCTGTACTTCTGTGGCGCGCCTTTTGCGAACTGGTAGAAGATGTGGAAGTTACGCTCATTCGTGATCTGTCCCACCACTCGTGACTTCTCCAGTAGGTAATTGGTGATGTTGGCACCGACCGGCTCGCCTTGGGCGTTGAATTCCAACTCCAAGTACTTTCCGAACCGTGACGAATTGTTGTTGCGCAATGTCTTTGCGTTACCAAACGATTCGAGCAGAGGGTTGGTGGCTAAGACCATGTCCTTCGTTTGCTGAATGGACGAATCGCTTCCCCCGGATACGCTGGCAATGTACTGCATAATCCGCTTCGCGGCCTCCGTCTTGCCGGCACCCGACTCACCGGAGATAATCACACACTGGTTGTCTTTGTAGGACTTCATGTTATAGTAGGAAGATTCGGCGACCGCGAATACATGGGGAGGGACTTCGAGTCGGTTCTTGCCTCGGTAGGAGTCAAGCACGCGGTCGGTATAGATACCCACTAGCCAGGGGATAGTCAGTTAGCGGAATGTTCGAACACAGCACTGGGGGCAATTCACTTACAGTCTCGGAAAGGGTTGACGGAGACAAGCACATGGCCGATATAAGTCTATTAGGAGCTATGTTAGCATGGAGTACGCCGCGCATTCCCTCAACGGCTCAGGGCGGCTTACGTAGATTTCGTCATGTTGAAATCGAAGCTTCAGGTTCTCGTTGATTGCTTCGTTGGAGATTTTGCTGAGCAGTGTAAGATCTGAGACACCAATCTCCTTCTTCTTTGTGGTCTCGAAAACGGCCTTCCTGACTTGCGGCTTGCCCCCCGCTTGTCGCCCGTCGCCCACATCAGCGGCGGCCTTGGAGCGACCGAACCGGCTCTTCTTCTCCCCGCCAGCAGGACGTCGTGAGTGACCCTGAATTGAACGGAGCGGTCAGTCAATGTCTTTCGCGGGCCAAGCTGTATACGATATTTCCAGAAGCAGACTCACCATTGTGAATGTTGCCGACCACCCGGGGTCTTGCGCCTAGGCGACCAAGATATCTGGCCTATCAATTTATTGCGGATGAGGGGGACGGTCGGGGATTGGAATGAACACAGAAAAAACGAAGGTTCACTCCACGCCGGGTATAATAGAAGAATAAGGAAAAGGAGAAGAATAAGAAAAGTCTTGAACGAAGGAAGAAAGAGTGAGAGTGAGAGTGAGCACGAGGGGGGAGAGGAATGACGATGTGGAGGAGGATCCCTCTTAGTCTTGACTCCAGGTCCCTCGATAGACTTACGGAGCGGGCAACCGCTTGCGCCACACTCCTTCCTCATGTGGCACCGTTGGGTGTCTTTCTCAGGCCGACAACGCGCAATCAGTTATTAATATCCCTCAAGTATTCTTGCTGCCTTTGGGCAGGGTCTAGGCGGCAAATCCGAATACGCACCGTCGACCTTCCCTGTTCCTGGCGGTGTTCATACCTAACCCACTCCAACCCGATGCTATGAAGTACTATTGAGCATCCCTTTAATTCTAATGACAGATAGGGATCGCAATTTACTTATTGTATGTTGAGTAGGAGTTCCCTAAATTACTTTTTTGTAAACGCTGAACAATGAAAGAATTGCTTTGTTGAGGCTCTGCAGAACTATATATATTGCATGCCTCGGCCTACTCACGAAGGCAATAAGAAGTGTACTCTGATATCATTCCCTCGAAACATCTTCCTTCCAGAAGTTTATGATATTCTCCGCAGCAGTACTGTCGAAGTAATGTTCAATTATTTTCTGACCTTCTTGTGAGCGAGTAGCCTGACTCATTTTCCTGAAAGACGGAAATAAGTCACTCAGTATATTCCTGGTCTCTTCGCTAAGAGTGCCAGGATAGTCCGAAGTAGCATGAGATAGCAGTGCAACGGAATCAGTGAGTGACGGATTAGGCACCGGTATGTCCTCGAGATTCGCCATGAAATCCTGTATGGCTGGGAGAAAGGAGGGTGCGTCTGGAATAGAGATCACCGGGAGGAGGTTCGTGAGACTCTCAAACATGCTGATTCAACCGGGCAGCATAAGTAAGGGATCAATGACGGCAATGAGGGGGAAATCGTACACAACTTGCAAAGCTAGAAGGCTATTCAGGCTATATCTCCCACTAGCACTGGTGAATGAGTCCTCCGACAAGAGAAACGCAATTGCTTTACTCGGATGCATTGCTGGGCTAGAGGCTACAAATTGTCTCAAACGAAGGCCGGTGCTCTGCTTTTCGGGAGCATCGAGGGAGGTTGGAGTCAGGAGCAATATCTGGACGGTCTTCGTAGTGGTTTCCTGTTGGAAAGTGAGGTCGCTTGTCTGTGGAACCTGCCCTTCTACTGGAAAGGTTAGAGTGAAGCCGAACCGTCTATATCGTAGATTGCGTAACTGACCTTCAGTGACTCCGGAAGACGCCTCTAAGACTGGCCCGATGACCTTCCACACTGAACGATCTCGAAGAGAAGGACTGTATGTCCCTCGGAGTCCGAGTTGGTTGTTCATGCCTGAGACAGTGAAAGCATTACTGAGCGCGGAGATTATGAATAATGGAGATGGAAAAGCGGAGTTGATTAGGTATGCTAGACAGAGAAGGAGAACTAACGCCCATTCCATGCAGAGGATGCCAGAAGCTTCAACCTTCCTTCACCACTTGAGAGGGGTATCCGAACAGTAGGTAAAATAAACGCCAGATATGCAAAAGATTCTATAGATAAGCATGTGCATGTATATGTGAGCCTGAACTTCAGGATTGAGGCTCGGACGGCCTAGCGGCAGTCGATGAAATCCATACCCACCAATGTTGCGAGTCAGGATGATTTCCAAATCATGGAATTGGAGATGCATGAAGACATATCAGAATGTGAGGTGAGGTTGGAAGGTTAAACAACGGCATGTTTACACTAACGATTCTGCAACTTCAATGCCGACCCTCCGGTCATAATGGAGATAGAGAAGTTGCTACCAGTTTATGCCTTCTTAGGTCCTGCGACTGGAGGAGAGGTAGTTAGACCAGCAGTCGGTGCTGGAGACGGAGTGCTGGAAGCAACCTTTGAGGCTTCAGCGGCGCTTGAGGTTGGACTTGTATTCGCTTTTCCCTCTGGCTGCAGCTCCGCACTCTGACCGAACGTTAAATAGGAAGCAATTGTTGAAAACCATCCCTGTTCCTCTGGTTCAACTGCCGGCTCGGGCTCCACGTCCTCTATTACCCGCAAGAGAATTCGACGAGATGCTGCAGGAAGTTCCCCATGCTTCTCGAGTTCAATGAACGCCTGTCTCAGCACCCCCATGTTCTCTTCAAGTTCGTTGAGCCGAGCTGCGACATCGTCTCTTCGAGTGTTTTCCTTCCTCCGAGACCTCCAAGACTCAAAGAGTATCAGACCGCCTGCTACAAGAAACAGGAACGTTTCGCTGATGAATGTTGCGCCGGATTCAATGGCTTTTGATTCAGAGAGTGGTCGGATGTGCGGTTTAGGCGCCGGCTTTTCGGCCTCCACCGCGGCAGCCTTTGCTTTCGCAATTGCCTCTTCTTCAGCCTTCGCGTCGGCTTCAGTCTTCACAGTCGGCGATGTAGACTTGTATTTTCGGACTTCTGCTTCAGCAGCGGCCCGTCGCGTTGCCGCGGCGTTGTCGCGTATTGTGCCGAGACGGAGCCGCATGTCGATGCGATGAAGGCCCTGGGCCATGGAGATGCAGAGTCGCCGAAAGCGTTCATGATCGCGGGCCTGTGCTTTGATTTGGTTCTTATCGGCGTCAGTATGTTTCGCAGCTTTTCGCGGTCAGGTCAGGTAAGGGTTATGGTGACGTACGGCTATCGGCTTTGACAGGGTGCGGA